GTATCGCATGTCTTTGGAGCAGCGCGACGACGACGCGGCCGCAGAGCATGAGGATCGCGGTGGAGATGAGGACGGCACCAGCGTAGTCCATGCCTCCGAATTGAAGTCTCTCGTGGCCCCAGAGCTCCAGGGGCCGTGGCGGCCTGGGCGCTGGCGTCTTTCCCTGAGAGTTCCTGAGGGTTTCCCGGGAATGAAAGTTAAACGCGTCCCAGCGCTTAGCCCGCTCTTTCTGGTTACTGTTTTCTTTCTTTCTTTCTTTCTTTCTGGTTAAAGATGCGCTGCAGGCATATTCAAGATGCGTTGCGTTTTCCCTATTGAAAGTCGCGACAAATGTCCCTCGTCCAGCCTGCAGCATGGCGAGGCGCGAGAGCGCAACGCGGTCGCGGTGGCGCACCGAGAGGGGCCGCCTGGCCACCGCTGCCACGGCGCCGCACGGACTTCACCCACTTTCGCGACTGTGGCCATCCAACAGTCTGCCGGCGCGGCGGGCGCATTCGAATGCGCCGGCCGCGCCGGCAGACTGCCAGTGCTTGCTATCCCGGGCGCACGTCAGCCGCGAGGACAGCGCTGCATCGCCGCCACAGCAACGCCTCCCCCGCGTGGCCGCCGCCAGCAATGCCGCCGCCAGCCGCCGCATCCAGCCGCCGCCGCCAGCTGCCGCCAGCACTGCAGCGACAGCTCTCTGCTGCCCAGGCGCCGCCGCGGCCACGAGTGTCACCGCCACGTCCCACGAGTGCCACCGCCGTCAGCGTCGCCATGGCCACTGCCGCCGCCAGGGGGGCGAGAGAGGGGCTCCATATGTGTGTATGAGGTGTGTGTCTGGAGACTGTCGCTTCCTGTACAGGAAACGCAGGTATTTCGAATAGCAAACGCGCTTATACTTGCAGGGCATCTTTAAAAAGAAACAGTGCGCTTCGCCGATGAGACCGCCATGGCCATGTTTTCGCCCGGCGGTGATGCTCCTGAGTGCTGCCGCCTCTACGAGTGCGTTGTTCGCACGTGCGCCAACGATGGCGGACGCGATGCCGCCGCGAGCGCGTGCGCCAACGATGGACGCCACCTCGTCCGCTCGCGGCGAGCTGTGCAGCGTGCTCCTGATGGACGACGGCTTCAACATGCGGGAATACGTGGCGCGGGTGCTGATGATGGTGTGCGAGCTCTCCGAATCGGAGGCGGATCGCTTGATGATGCAGGCCCATTGGGAGTACAGCTCGGTCGTGGGCACGTGGGAGCGGCCTGTCGCGCAGCACATTTGCGACGGGTTGAAGCAGGCCGGCCTGCATGCGGCCATCCAGCCAGAATCTGCCATCCAGACCGATTCCGACGAGCCGTCTTGATGCTGCTCGTCGGCTGGTTGGCGGGCCCTGCTGCTGGGCTTGTGGGCTGCCCTCCCGCCCGCGTCCCGCTCCTTCGCGCCTCTGGCCCGAGGTGCCTCTCCGAGGGAGGCGAGGTGAGCCGGAGAATCTCGCCAAGCATGCCAGGCCTCTCTGGTGCCGCCGAGGAGGCGGAGGGCCGCGAGGATGCGCTCCGGGCGAGGCTCAAGCAGGCGCTGGCAGGTGGAGGCGGGTCGCTGCGCGAGGCGCTCCTGGGCGGCGGCGGTGTGTCCTCTCCGCCTCTGGCCGCCGCCCTCCGCCCGCTGATTGGGCAGCCGCTCGCGACGCGAGTCGCAGAGCTCGCTGAGCAAACGGAGGGCGCTGCCCCGCCGCGCCCGCTCGGCGAGTTTGAGTCGCGAGCCGCCTCGCTGATGGCTGCGGGCCGCTGGATCGAGGCGCACGACGTGGTGGAGGGGCTCCTGCTCGAGGCGAGCGGAGGAGGCCACTTGCACGAGGCGACCCTCGCGGCGCGGCTGCTCGAGGGCATGTGCCAGCACGAGCTGGCGAACGCCGCCGGGCTGGCGGCCGCGCTGTCGGCGCACGAGGAGGAGAAGGACTCGCCGCTGCAGTGCGGCTGCGTGCTCGCCGGCGAGGTGGTCGAGCCCTACTCGGACTTGGCGACCGCGCTGCATTTGGTGGAGAGCGACGCCAACGCCGCGCTCGGCCACGCGTTGTGCGTGGGCCTGACGCGGCCAGCGCTGCTGCCCGTGGCGGCTCAGATCGCGGCGCGCGCCGAGGCAGCTCTCGAGCCTCTCGAGCCGCGGCTGCTCGACGGTGGCGATGCCGACAGCGGCGGCGGCGAGGGAGAGGCGGCGGCGGGAAGGGAGGCGGCGGCGGGAAGGGAGGCGGCGGCGACAACGGGCGATCAGGTTGACGAGGCAGCCGACGAGGCGGCCGACGAGGATCTGACGGCGCTGGACGAGCTGGAGGGTCTGGTTGGGCTGCGCGAGGCTAAGGCGCACTGCCGTTTGCTGAGGGACGCCGTCGCGCTCGAGAAGGAGCGAGGCGACGACCCGAAGCTTAAGTCGCTCTCGCTGGTGCTCACGGGGAGCCCCGGGACAGGCAAGACCGCCTTCGCCCTTCTGTACGCGCGGCTGCTGGGCGAGCTCGAGGTGCTGCCTTCCGGGCGTGTGGTGCGCGTCACCGGCGCGCAGCTGCAGGACGGCGGCGTTGAGGCGCTCGAGGAGGTGCTCAAGGGCTTCGACGAGCCGGGCGAGGGCGGGCTGCAGGTGGGTGACGTGGTCGAGGCGCGGCGCGAGGGGACGTGGGGGCACTTTGGGCGGATCGTGCGCCACGACACTTCGCCGCGCGCGCGGCCTCCGTACAAGGACTCGTACGACATCCACTTCGGAGGGCGGGTGAGGTTCGAGCTCTCGGACGGGACAAGCGTCAGCCGGCGGGACAACGACTTTGACATTGGCGTGCGTCGCAAGGACATCCGCGCGAAAGCGGAGACGGGAGGCGTCCTCATCCTCGACGACGCGCACCAGCTGAGCACGAGCGAGAAGGCAGCGAGGCAGGTGCTCTACCGCCTGACGGAGGAGATGGACGCGCGCGGCGGCCGATTCGCCGTCGTCGTGGCGGGGTACGAGAAGCAGCTCTTCACAGAGGTCTAATCAATCGCCCGTTGACCGTCAACAAACGCGAGTTATGACTACTCATCCATCCTTGATCAGGTGATGAACTTCAACAACGGCGCGCTTTCCAGCCGGCTCCGCCGCCGCTTCGCGCTGCCGGACTTTGACGACGCCGAGCTGCTGCAACTGCTGCGCAGTCAGCTCCGCACGCGCCCAAATTACCATGTCCGCGACGACAAGTACTTGAGGATTGCGACGCGGAGGCTGGGCAAGGGGCGCGGCAGCTTAGGCTTTGGGAATGCGCGCGCGGTGCAGGCCGATCTCGAGCTGGCATTCGAGCGCCAGACTGCGCGAGTCGTCGCCGAGCGCAAGGCGGGCGCCAGCCCGGATATCTTTGCGCTGGAGAGGGACGACCTGCTCGGCGAGCCGCCGAGGCCGCTCGACGCGGAGACGTGCGCGCCGCTCCGCGCTCTCCGCGAGATGGAGGGGCTCGGTGCCGTCAAGGCGTCGGTCGACGCGCTCTTGCGCCTCGCCGAGTCGAACGCGGCGCGCGAGGAGCTCGAGCTGCCGACGGCGGAGGTCTCGCTCAACCGCGTCTTCCTCGGCAACCCGGGCACGGGCAAGACGACGGTCGCGCGGCTGTACGGCCAGATTCTGAGGGAGATCGGGCTGCTCTCCGTCGGCGACGTCGTCCTCGCCACGCCGTCCGACATGATCGGCTCGGCGCTCGGCCAGTCGGAGGAGCGCACGAACGCGCTGCTTGACCAGTCCGCCGGCTGCGTGCTCGTGATCGACGAGGCGTACGGCCTCGACCCGGCGAGCGGGGGCAGCTTCGGCGGGCCGGCGGGCGGGGGGGCCGCGGGCGGGGACCCGTACAAGACCGCGGTGATCGACACGCTCGTGTCGCGCGTGACTGGCGACGTGGGCGCCGATCGCTGCGTCCTGCTGCTCGGCTACCGCAAAGAGATGGAGCGATTCCTGCGCAAGGGCAACCCCGGCCTCGCGCGCCGCTTCCAGCTGGAGAACGCGTTTGTCTTTGAGGACTACGACGATCAGGCGCTGCTGCGCATTTTGATGCGCAACGTCGCTCGCCGCGGCAAGGAGGTCGCCTTCGACACGGCCAAGCAGGTCGTCCGCCGCGACCTCGCAAAGGCTCGGATGCGGCCCAATTTTGGCAACGCGGGGGCGGTCGACAATTGCGTCTCTTCAGCGGTCGTGCGTGCCGAGGCGCGCCTCGAGGCGCTCCCGGCCGACGAGCGCGCGACGCAGGGCGAGCTGCTGCTCGCGGACTTCCTCGTCGAGAAGCCGCACGTGCGAGACCCGTCTCTCGTCTTTGAGGGCCTCATCGGCTGCGAGGCCATCCGCACGCGGCTGGCCGAGTACCAGGCCGTCTGCGCGGCGGCGAAGAGGGCGGGGCGAGACCCTATCGACGACCTCGCGCTCGTGTTCTGCTTCCAGGGCTCGCCCGGCACCGGCAAGACCACGGTGGCGCGCCGCATGGGCATGCTCTTCGAGGCGCTCGGCGTGCTCCCTTCGGCCGAGGTGGTGCAGGTCTCTGCGAGCGACTTCTCCACAGGCTTCGTCGGCCAGACCGCCGCGCGGACGCGCGACATCTTCGACTCCGCGCGCGGCGCCGTCTTATTCATCGATGAGGCGTACCGGCTCTACGATCCTCTCGGTCGGTCGTACATGCAGGAGGCGGTGGACGAGATCGTCAACCTGCTGACCGAGGAGCAGTACCGCGGCAAGCTGGTCGTCATCTTCGCGGGCTACGCCGGCCAGATGTCGCGCCTGCTCGACGAGGTGAACCCGGGCCTCAAGTCGCGCGTGTCGGACGTCATCGACTTTCCGGACTTCGCGCCTGCCGCGGCGGCAACGATGGCGGCGCAGCAGCTCGGTGAGAAGCGGCTCCAGCTGCCGGCCGGTGCCGAGAGCCTCGAGCCGTGGATGCGGCGGCTCGTCGCGGCGCCGCGCTGGGCGAACGGCCGCGACGTCGAGACGTACGTGCGGCGCGTCGCCGTCGAGTGCGCCACGCGCGAGACGGCGGTCGTGCCCGACGCGGCGCTCGACGCCGCGCTGGCGACGGTGCTGCAGATGAAGGGCCAGCCGGCGGAGGCGGAGGAGGCTGTCGCCTCGCCAGCCTCGCCGTTCATGACGGCCGGCCCCGCCGTGCAGCGGGAGCCGCGCTTCGACATCGACATCGCGAAGGCGCTGCTGGAGGCGAAGATGGACAGCGGCGACGAGGACGACCCGGCGGCGGGCGCCGACGACGACCTCGCCGAGGCGCTGCAAGAGGCGATCGTCGGCCTCGGGTACGACGAGGACGACGCGGCGCGCGACAAGCTCGAGAGGCTGCTCGCCGGCTTCGCCGACGGGAGCGCGCCCTTCCCGGACGACCTGCGCTCTCGCGTGCTCCGCCGGACCGGCGCGTCGGCAGGCGCGGTCGACGAGGCGCTCCGGCGGCAGGCCGGGCCGGTGCTGACGGCGGTCCGGTCGGCGATCGCCTACCGCAAGAAGAGAGCGGCGCAGCTCGACGAGCTCGAGGAGGGCGACAAGGAGGAGGCGATCGACGAGGAGGAGCGCATCATGGAGCGCTTGCGGCAGCGAGGGCCGTGCCCCGAGGGCTTCTCGTGGTTCCGGCAGGGGAACGGCTGGCGCTGCGGTGGGGGGAGGCACTTCGTGTACGATGACGACCCGATCCTTCGAGAGGACTAGACGGGCGGAGGAGGTGCTCGCGGGCGGCGGGGAGGCTCCCCCTCAGGCTGTACCCTCCCCACTACTGTACTTTGGATTCGCACGCGTCTCTTTTCGCTCGCGGCGCCTGGGGTCATCCCCGAGAGCGAGACCGAGCGAGTGTACTATCTATTTGTCTGTGATGTGGTGAAGTATACTCTATTGTCTGGCTTTGATTTCGCCGCGCTTACATGTACATGCACCGTAGGAGCGGGTTTTGTTGCAAAAAAGGCTCGCCCCTTTCTTTTCTTTCGCGTCTCCCGTGCCGCCCAGCGCAGACCCCAGTGTCACGTGCGAGGGGGGGGGGCCTAGTTGTATAGGGTCGACGCTCGGTGTATCCAACTCCCGTCGGGGTTTCTCTAGCATTACGAAAACCGTTGGAAACAGATTTGTGAAAGAAAGAATTCTTCACGGCCTGCTTGCCGCCAGCGCCTCTGCCACGGCCTTCGCCCTTTCCGCGCGGATGCATGGCCCCACGCCGCCGAACAGGCCGCGCGGCACGTCGGATGGCGGCAAGACGTGTGCTGTCTGCGAGAAGCCATCGACCACGCGATGCTCAAAGTGCAAGGAGGTGATGTACTGCTCGGTTGAATGCCAGAGGCTCGGTGCGCGTGCGCCCCGCCACTGCGGCCGCACCTCCACCCCGCATGACTGCCTTGCCGACCCGGCCTTCGCTCGCGCGCAGATTGGAAGGCGGGCCACAAGCAGGTGTGCTGCAGCGGCACCAGCGCCAGCGCGCTGGCCGCAAAGTCGGCGGCCGCGGCGGCGCTTCCACCTCCGTGGGAGCCGTTCAAGCCCGACCCCGAGGTGGAGGCGCTGATTGACGAGGGCGCGGCCGCGCCCGTGACGGGGATGGCCAACGTGGGCAACACGTGCTTCCTCAACGTCGTCGTGCAGTGCCTCTTCCACGGCCCGCTCTGGCACTACATGCAGCGCGGCCTGCCGCGGCACAAGCCGCCGGCGGAGCACGAGCAGGGTTGCGGCGAGCCGGACTGCGTGATCTGCGAGCTCAACGAGCTGGTCAGGATGTACGCCAACCCGGGCGCGCGCAAGTGGATCGCGCCGCGCTCGGTCGTGCGGAAGACTTTGTCCGCGTGCGCCGGCATCGGGGTGGACTTTGGTCGGATGCACGACTCGCACGAGTTCGCCATCGCGGGCATCATCAACCGGCTGCTCAACGCCAACCTGCGCGGTGCGCCCGAGGCGAGCGGCAGCGACGAGTACGACTGCCTCGAGTGCCAGACGCTGCAGCACCACCTCTTCGGGGCTCTGCGCGCGCCGCTCCGCGAGAAGATGAGCCGAGGCCGGAGGGACGGGGCGGGCTGAGGCGGTGTGTGTGTGTGTCAGGTACGCGAGCGTGGTCACATGCGAGAGCTGCGGCCACCAGACCGGGCGCATGCAGCGAGACGCGAACGGGTTCACCCTTGCCCTCACCGGTGCTCGCGCCGCCGCGTGGCGGGAGGCGGAGGGCGAGGCTGGCGGCGTGAGGGCGGCTGTCCGCACATAGGCCGCACGCCAGAGACGCCGGAGACGGGGCTGCGCGCGTGGGTGCGCGGCGCGGCGCAGCGGGTCGGGGAGAGGGTGGGTGTGGTGCGCCGCTCCTCGCGCGGCCGTTGCCGTCGCGCCTCCCGCCGCTTGCTCACTTGGCTGCGGTGCGAGCGGCGCTGTAGGTCGAGGGGACGAGCGAGAGCGTCGAGGAGCTTCTCAAGTTCGACTTCGAAGGCGAGGCACTTCCTAGACACTGCCTAGACACTTCCTAGACTTCCTAGAGCTTCTCAAGTTCGACTTCGAAGGCGAGGCACTTCCTAGACACTTCCTAGACACTTCCTAGACTTCCTAGAGCTTCTCAAGTTCGACTTCGAAGGCGAGGCCTGGCCGAGACACAGACGAGGCCCGGCCGAGACGCGGCTGAGAAGCAGCCGAGCTGCTCACGCCTCGCCCTCCCTCCAAAGGTGAGTCGCTCGAAGACTACAAGTGCGACGGGTGCGGCAAAAAGGCGCGAGCCGATGCCCCTCCCCGCATCCGCACGGCCTGCTCGCCGCGCCTACCCCCTCCTCTCCTCTCCGCCTCCGCCTCCCTCCCGACCAACCGCTGCGCCCCCCGCTCCGCCGCCGCAGATGGACGAGATGGACGGCAAGCGGATCGTCAAGAGGAGCTCCCTCGTGGACGCGCCTCGCGTGCTTACCCTCGTCATCAAGCGCTTCAGCGGCGGCCACTTCGGGAAGGCGGGACCCCGCGCCCTCTCTGCCCTCTCTGCCCTCTCGCCCTTTTTGTCCTCCTCCCCTGCCCGCCTTCGAGCTCCGGAGCGGGCTCCGCCGCATCGCCCCGCCCCTCCCGCCCCTCCGACTCTTCACGGCCCGCCCCTCCGACTCTCGCGCCTCTTCACGGCGGCCGCAGGTCAGCAAGCCTGTCACCTTCGACGAGGAGCTCGACCTCGGCCTCGCCCTCCTCTCGCGCCCCGCCTCCGCCTCGCCGCCCCCGCCCTCACCCCACCCGAGGGCGCTAAATGACGAGCGTGTGCTGAGCTGTCGCGCCCGCGAGCGCTGCGACCCAACGGACAGTAGCATGCAGCACAGGGCGGCGAGCTCATCACCGCTGCTGGCGAGCTGCCACCGCCGAAGCGACCAGTCGGGTATGAGGTGACGGACCGACTGAAGATGTCCTTCGTCGTCGCCGGCGAGCCGGCAGGCGA